TGATGAGGTTGGATCTGATTCCTAGGTGAATTTGGTGTACTGGTATACCCTCATCTCGCCAATGATATCTTATTGACTAAAATCCTAGTAAGTCTTGGCTAAACTGAACAGTTGAAAAACTGTAACCAGTGACTGCAAGCATTAATCGTCAAGGCAAATAGCAAGGCTTGCTTGTCTTGATGTAGCACTTATTCACCTCCACCATCTATACTTAGAGGCTTAGGCCTATGACGAATTAGTAGGACCGACCTTCACTCATATACCCTGGAGAAACACTGGGGGATTGGCAATAGTAATCAGAGGTACCTGCACTGATGGCAATAAGTAAAAAAAAAAAAAAAAAAAAAAAAAAAAAATTAATTATAAGTAAAATTAGAAATAAAATATTATTTCTGTTTTTTTTGAACCAGACTGTATATTAAAAAAGAATATATATACAGTATATACAGTATATTTAGTCTTAAGAAAGAAAATACAGTAAAAAAATAGTATAAAGTTTTCTAAAGGTAATAAAAATATTTTTTAAATTTTTAATATACAGTAAATAATAAAACTAATAAAAATATTTATACAATTGAAAAAAGCTATTTATACACAGTTTAAAGGTGTAACTGGGGAACATGAGTTTTGTTGGGAGAAAGGGTTTAGCACAATGTTAAGAGATAATAAAGCTTTAGCACATTTAAATCTTACGATATGCATGTTTATTAATTTATTGTTTGGTGTGGGAAATACCTGCAGAAGATTCCCGCTAATACTAAAGGAGATGTTTCGTAAAACTCAATGCATTTGTTTAATAAGATTGTATTACGTGGTGATTTATATTTGAAAATAAATAAACTATAGACTTTGAAAAAATGTTTATACTTATAAAGTACGCCAACATTAGAAATATAGATCACAATCCTTAGACTTTGCCACACTAATTTCCTACTCTCCTTTCACAACCGCTTATAGAATTGACATTATAGATCTGGGTGGCGAACTTCAAGATGGAAGATTCTCTACAGTCTTGGACGGATTCACATTTTTCGAATCCTTTCACAACGGATTCGGTCGGCGAGAAAACTTTAAAAGAGAGGTTTATATTTGAAACTCATAATAAGGTTTCTCGAAGTCAAAAGTCGACCTCCAAAGCAAGTGCAACAAGCGATGCAGTGGAGAGTCGACATAGATCACGTCTTGTACCTGTCACCACACATCCTCTGAGCCCGCCAACGCAACCTTCCTCAAACATAACCAGTAATGTTCATAAAGCCTCACCAGGTTCACAATCACTTACAACCTTGTTTAATGAGAGCGACATCTATTCACTTTTTAAAGCACAAGGACCGACCGCAATCAGAAAACGTCGTAGCTTGCCGGGTTTTGACATGG